TCTCTCAAGGATTCTCGGACTCGTATATGCGGTTAAGGCTAAGTAAGGCTGAAGCTTAAGCTGAAGCTTAACCGAGCTTAACCGAGGAAATTTTTTTTTCTTTTCTTCTTTTTTTTTTTTCCTTTGCGCCCGATTTGAGCGGGTTAAGAAAGCTTGATTTCAAAAAATATATGTTTTTCAAAAATACTTTATTTCATTTATTTATTTATTTTCTTTGCTCGATTTGAGCGGATAGAAAGCTTGAAGCTTTTTTTCATCGAATTTATTTAAGGGGGAAGGGTTGCTGAGCTTTGTTTTTTTTGGAATGTCGAGGGAGGGGGGGGGGAGGGGGTTGAGGTTTAGATTTTAAGTAGAGTTTACATTTTTTTTCTTCTTCTTCGTATTATTTAATAAGAGAGCGGAATAATTATTTGTTTCGATGATTTTTTTTTTTTGAAGTGGAATTTTAAGGGATTGTGAAATGATGTTGGGTTGATTTGGGAGGAGAAGATTATTGCTGGGTGGGTGGGTGGGTGGGTGAGTGAGGGTTTAGCGCTTAAGAGATTGATTTGATGGATTGTGTATTGATAGATAGATAGATTTTTTTTAGATTTGGGTGTTTTCGTGTCTTTTGGAAGGGGTTGAGGCGAGGAGCGCTGGTTTTGCTTGGGGGGCGCTGGAGGGTGGTGAATATGGTAATAATAATAATAATTATAACAGTAATAATGATAATAATAATAATGATAATAATAATAATGATAATAATAATAATGATAATAATAATAATGATAATAATAATAATGATAATAATAATAATGATAATAATAATAATGATAATAATGATAATAATGATAATAATGATAATAATAATAATGATAATAATAATAATGATAATAACACTAACAATAATAATAACAATCACTTATTCTATCCTGCCCAAGTCGTTGGACTAAGATGCCAAGGAAACGCCATCGAACCAGGTCTACTTGGTCATGCTTGTTTGTCGACTAATTCCTGGGCTGGGAACCGAGGTCACGTGTGCGGCTCAGGGCGACGAAAACCTGAACTTTGCTGGAGTGCTGTTCTTTTGAATCTACGTGCGGTTTTGGCTTTACTTTCTTCATATGCGGTGATGGCTCTCGCGTCGAATCGTTTGCTCTTGCTATCTTCTTACAAATGAGAGGCAAGACGCTGCAGGCGCACTTTCCCGACTCGCGGAGGAAGACGGAAAGAAAGATCACCGCGGCGTATCCTTCCGAGATGGCAAGTGAGGTTCCTCTTCCCGAATGTCCATATGAAGCGAGCCGATCGCGCGCCCGCTCCATCGTCTTCGCCACCAGCTAGGTTTCCCAGCGATGTTGAGCCTCCACCGGCCCTCGCAGGTCCTGCACGTGGCCGAACTGCAGAGCCTGATTGCGGATTTCGAGCTCCAGTTCGAAGAGCACTGCTGCGATGACATTGCGGAAGAGAAGCTGGCGCTCTTGATGCGGCACGAGAGAGAGGAGCTGGCCCTCGTGCTGTGCCATGAGAGGGAGGAGCAGGCGCGGCTGGAGAGGGTCCAGTGTCGGAGGGATCGCTACGTTATGGTCCTGCTGAAGGATCACATTGCGTGCCTTTTGGGCGGGGATGAGGGGATGGGCGAAGGAATGGACGAGGGGTCTGCCGTGATGAGGGGTGGAGAGGATGCTGGTGAGCAGCTGGCTTTTAAGGCTGAGGAGAAGAGTGTTCAGAGGTTGAAGACGGAGATCTTGGATGCGGACAGCGCAGAAGACGAAGAGGTGGAAAAGGTCGAGCTAGCCGCACCTCGGGACCACCCCGTCGTACCCCTCCTCCCTCGAACCACGACCAGAAATGGTGTGGGGAGGGATGAGACGGTCGTCCTGGGATCGAACCGGGGCCAGCTGACAGAATACTACGTCCTACGGTGTGAACGCTGTCCTACCAAGCCTTTCCGACCGTATGCGCATGACGCGTGCGAGCTCTCTGCGTTGTGGAGAGATCACGTTAACTGTTTGGTCGTCGACCAGGATCATGCCGTGCCATCTTCCATCGACGTCACGGGTGTCTTCGTGTGGAAGATCGTCGACGCGGACGATGACTGGTATGAGACGCACCTGAGAGGCTTCCACGCCGGGCACCAGGGCTGGTCAACACCTGACCGTGAATATCCACCACCTGAGAGCAAGGGAACACCCAGAGCCTCGAAAGTCGTGGATAAAGATAAAAACTATAGGGTCAAAGTCAAGACTGGGGAACGGTCCCATCGTCAGGCTCTCAAGAAGAGGAGCAACGAGAAGGAGAGCCTGACTGGAGATCTAGAGCGTGCCGCGACCCCTACAAAGATCAATCTGAAGAAAAATCACGAAGTCACCGAGACGCCTTGCGCGAAGCCGCCAACGGGATATCGGAGGTCTTCCAACGGAGTACCCAAGTCAGGAAGCGACTCTGGTACGTATGCTACTCCTCTTTCCCACCCTCGCGAGGGGCCACCGAATGGGTGTTACCTGAGGCTTCTTGACTGATAAGCGCTTCTCCAGGACGCAGACGCAGAAGCTACACGGCCATCCCCATTGCGAGGAAAAGAGGTGCTCGTCATATGATTATTGCACCAGCAGCTGCGAAGAAGCGTCCCCTTTCCACGACGGGAGCTGGGAGCAGCTTCAAGCGAAGAGTCACGCCGGCGTCTCAGGCTTTGAGAGATGGGAATGTTAAGAGGCTTCGTACCGATGGCTTGGTGGGAAAAGCTGGTCCTTAATGAAATGGGAGCAGGGGAAGCGAGGGTGGGCTATGAGTGGTAGGTTATATTGCTCAGGGGGGTGGGGGCAACGTGGAGAGAGGGGTGTTTTGTGGGAAACTGGCCGGCTACTAGTGCTAGGATTAGTTCACCAAAGCTTTTAAGTCTGTTGTTATCGGGTCGGTGTATAGCTTTGGTGTTTTTTCTTTTCTTTTCTTTCCTCTTTTTTTCATATAAGATTTTTAGATTTAGATTCTCGTTACCATAATGATCATAGTCATGATTACGATTACTACAAAGTTCTCTTCCTTTCCTGCGACCAGCAGTGAGCGCGCCCCGCTTCTCATCCATCCAGTACCCAGCTTGAATTAGTCAACTCGAGCGGAGTCGAGCTCTACCGGAGTGTATGCAGGCATTTTTAACTCCTACAAAAGATATCCAGGACGAGTGTCACCTCGGCAGCACCAGTATCAACCGCAAGGATGCATATAAGCCCGAGGGTTTCTTCATTCGTCGCGGTGAGCAGACTGGAGTCCGCGTCACGAGGGATCCTGGAGGTGGATGCTGTGGATGTGCGATCGTGCTGGCGGGGAAGCAGGCTGGCTACTGGGCGGAGCGGAGCGGAGCGGAGCGGTGGCGGGGTTGAAGCGGAGGCGGGGGTTGGAGATGGTTGGGCGGTTCTTCTCCTTTTTCTTCTTTTTCCTTGTTTTTTTTAAATTCCACAATGAGTAACTAAGTTTCGATGATCACGATACACCTGTGCAATATACGACTCATCTCTCAGACCTTTTTCTTTCTCGCCTGAGAGACGGTTGCCCTTTTTTCGCAGCAGAATATACATCAAAAAACAGCAAGCAAGCAAGCATTTGGGATCTTTCTCCCCAGGATACACACGTACACACACACATAGTGAAAAAGAACCCAAGTCCCTCCAGAAGATCGAAAAGCCATCGAAAAAGTAAACCCTGACGTCCGGATTCCACAGGCAAGTTCTGCTTTGCCAAGAATGAATGCCCGGGCTCTCGCTTAATTCGCTTAATTCGCTTATTCCCCTTTTCCCTTTCCCCTTTCCCCCTTTCCCTATTGCCCGAGAAAGCCCACCACGTATTCTTCCCCTCCTCCCTTCCTCCGTTGATCTATTACCGGTAGCACAGTCACAAACACAAATACAGCACGATAGCATATTCCCCGAATCAAATCCCCATTGCGCAACCTTATTCTCTCTCCTACGAATAGGAAGATTACTGTAACCTTGGTTTACTTCTTCATCTGTGTGCTCCTTTCGATGCCGTGATCTGATACTTACTGGTATTTAGTGATTGTGCCAACATCGGCGCGAGCAATTCCGGCGTATGGTTCTGACTCCCGCAGGATTTCTGAGCGCGAGCTCGTTGATCCCATCTCTTTACAGCAACGGGTAGATGTGATCTCGATCCTCTGCCTTCCCACGTCTCGTCCATGAGATGGCTCGTCGTGTCGAGATTGCTATCTTCGACAAACCCAAGCCAAACCCCCTCCCCGGGACGAGTCTGTCCCCCCTCGTCGTCATTGGATCGGCGCCCGCCGCGGGTCCTGCGTGGACTCCTGCCAGCTCGGGTCGCACTATTCCTTACAACGGCGTGATCTTCCATTGCCCAGCCGTTCCAGCGCTCCGCGGGTATACCATCTTCGGAGCTCCACCGAGTAACCCCGCCGAGCCTCATATCCGGCGGTATCTACGGACGTCACAGCTGGTGCATCCTGCCCTTTTACGCGCCGCGTAGAACCTCCCAGCTCATCTCCTAGAAACATTGAGCTGGCGGCAGAGCGGGCAGGTGCACCAGCTGTAGTCGCTTATTGTCGCTGCTGCTGCTGCTGCTGCTGGGTATAAGCTCTCCAGACAGGGCACCACGCAGTGGAAGCCGACCTCGTGTCGGCAGGGCAGTAACACACACCGATCCGAGATGTCCTCGAAGCAGACCGCGCACTTGTCAGCCGGGCTCGTCTCGGCCTCGAGGGGACCTGGATCCGGAGGGTTCGCTCTCGGCTCTCTCGTCGACGTGCAAGGACCCTACTTCCCCCCCCCCCCCCGGGCCGAGGTGGCTGGGCGTCAAAAATCCAGCGTCTCCTTTCCCAGCGCTCAAGGACCGCCGCAGCGGATCGACCGTCATACCTACTCCTGGTAATTCTCCTCCGTCACTCATCACCATTATTCATCTGAACAAGCAATGTCCTGGCTGGCGTTAAGCGCTCTCTCACAAATTGATTATATAGTCAGTCAGTCAGTCAGTCAGTCAGTCAGTCAGTCAGAACCCAGAGCTAGGTAGCCCCCGTGCACCTGAAGCTACAGTCCGCACAACAGACGACGGCCTGCCACCGTGGACAGAATACATGACCCTCGAACGCCCCGAGGCATCAGTAGAGAGCTCAAACATTGCGTAAGCGAAAGATGGGGTCGTTAGTTGGTTGGGTCAATTCGTCGCGTAACAGCCGGCCCAGACTCCTGATAGAAATGAAAAAGGAACCCAAGTGAGGAGATACGTTCGTGGAACAGGTGCATGGGAGAAGAAGAGATTCCAAAAGAACGGTATATACAAGAAATCTGTCGGTCAGCTGAGCTCGACAGTCTAAAGGCCATCCCAGCCTAGGCATACCCAACGAGAGTATCCGCGTAGGCTTTATACCCCACGCCGACTTCTGGCTCCATGTTGAACATGTAATCGCCCCACCACGGACCGCCCGCCCACCAGAGGACTCCCATCCAGACATCGCTTGCAGCAGCAAGCGCGTCCAGGAGGCCTTTGACGGCAGACTTGCACTGAGGATTGTCCCCTCCTGCCACTTCGCCGATGATACCCTTCTTGCCGTTGGCCTGAAGCCATTTGGTAGCCGCGGCGATACGCTCAGCACCGATGGTAGCCGATACACACACGTCTGAAGTTCCAGATCCGTCCGAGTCGAGGTATTGATGCATTTCGTAGACGATCTTGTCGGAGGGGTCAGTGAGGCTACCCATCACCTCCGAGTTCCCTGATGTAGTCCATGTCCAGGCGCCGGAGTAGGAAGTGCCTTCCACAAACACATACTGCGTTGTCGCTCCGGCGGCTCTGACTCCATCGATGCAAGCTTGATTCAGGTCGGCAACCTGTTGGTTGGAATTCATGTCGTGGAACTCGTTATTGCAATCGAAGATGACCTTATCGTTGGTCTTGAACTCCGTCGCGACGTTTGTCCAGAAAGTCTTGAAGTCGGCGGTAGAGCTGATGATAGATCCCGCATAGCGACCGAAGTTGTGGGGGTCGATGACGGCATGGGCCCCGGCTGTGGTGATGTGGTTGACGAGCGCGGACATATCAGCCAGATAGGTCGCATTCAGGTCAGCGGTCATGCTGGTCTGCGCCAAGCGCTCCATCATGAAGGGAATGCGGAAGATGTTCATCCCCTTCTTGATCAGGATATCAATCGATGTCGTCAATGGCCACGTGTAATCCTTGCCAAGCAATCCGGGGAGCTTGGTTTGTCCAAACTCGGCCCCCGATTGGTTGGTGCCCACCCATTGGAGCGCACCTGTTGAGTTGGTGGGCTTCGATGGACTGGCAGGAGCCGGGTCTGGAGCTGTATGGGGATGAGAACGTGAGCGACGGGCTAGGGAGGAAGGAGGAAGGGAGGAGGGAGGAGGGAGGAGGGAGGAGGGAGGAGGGAGGAGGAGGAGGGAGGAGGGAGGAGGGAGGAGGGGACGGAGGGAGGAGGGAGGA